CAGGCAGAACTATTTACATATTTATTATCTTTATATATGCCTTATGAAATTTTCATTTTTATATAAAATACTCTAACCCCAAATTAGATTACAAGTATTTTGTCTCATTTATTTTTAAGTTTGTGAAAACATACTTATCAGGCTACATTCAAGAAACTAAGTTCCCAGTACCAAAATAATCCTATTCTACTTCTATCTTTTTGTTCTTTTGCATGGAATACCTAAGATAACATTGCAGATGTTTTACAAAAAAGCAACCATTTAAGAATATGGAACTATACCATTTGGTCAGTCTGGCAATTGGAGTTGAGGTGCATCTTACCCCACCTCAGAATAATAACAAAGTTGCAAATCCAATCAGCACTGCTCTATCCAGCACAAAAATTCTCATCTCTGAACACTAGGCAGGAAATGCAGAGCCTAGCCTAGCAGGAGTTTCCAATTTTCTCCCACAAATTTCCATTGTACAAAATACAAATACGTTGTTTGGAACACACATGTCAAATTTTACACAGAGTCGTTATATGAGAAAATAAAACTCTAACATCATGAATACCCACGTCTGAGCGATCTGAAGTCACTGATGTACACACTCTTACATAACTACAGAATGGGTACAATACTGGAGAAGCTGATGCCAGATTACTGCTTTATCACTGATGACTTATTATGTAATTCCAATAATTTCCACTGTTGTGGTTCTGCTCTAGTCCTGGCAGTTTTGGAGATGACAGACCTTATTTATTTATTTACTTATTTATCTTTTTTTACCAGGGATGGGCATTACCCACCAAGCTACTGACATTTCAACATCTGGGAAAAATGAAACACTCTTCTTCAAGCTACTGCTCACCTCTGAAATATGCACCTGTAAAAATCTGTGCAAATTTTGTCACACTGAAAACCTTGCAGACGAAATGAGTTAATGGACAGATGACAGATGAGTTAAAGGTACCCAATAAACTGTAGGAGGGGGACAAAATTATCAAAAGTGTGACTAACAGAAATACAAAATCTGGGCTTCACATAATGAGAACCACAGGGTTTGCAGTGCCTCCAACACAGTCGAAACTGAAGTCCAAGAAGGTGGCCCATCTACAGACAAGTGCCACCATTGTATCTACTTTCATTTCCTGTTCACATGCACATGACTGAAATTTGGCAGATTCACTGAGTTCAGTCATACCTGGTAATCCATCATACTGAAGCTTGGGAAGAACTCCAGAATACGAGACTCAAAGAAGTATGGAAATATCCAGAACATGGGCATCTCTTGGTTGTTATGACCTAGTAATGAAAAGACTTAGATGTACATTAAAGAAAAACAAGGTACATGAAGCATGAAAAATGTATGGTAAACATTCTGAATACATAAACATGTATATGTATGTCATGCTGGGCATAAGAACTAGTTCCTTCAGGCGACAGAAGGTTTTGGCATATTTTATATATGTGGAGCTGTAAGCTCCAGTAATTCTTGTTGCCCGCCTAGGTTGGTAAGAAATGGTATTGGTTTGGAAGCAGCTTCTTCTCCACCTTTAAAGTCCATTTTAATTGCAAAGTAGATTTGTAAAAACAATGTTTGAAGAGAGATTTAAAGAATTAGGTATTATTAAACTCTAAGTATCAGGATAGTAAGTTAGACCTCTAGTAGTTCATCTTGAGAAATTGTAAGTGTGTTCACATTCACCTGAGTAGAAAGAAGCACAGACTTTTAAATAGGTACTTTTTCTTACAGTCATGTTACAGCTCAACCCAGCTGGTTGGTAATACATACCTCCTTTTTGTGTCTCCTTCCACATTGCCATCAGTTTTTTAAAACTAGAGGCCAGTGCTTCCACTAACCCTCCAAATGGAGGATCAGTTACCATAATGGCTCTTTCACCATTATCTTGATACAAGAATTTCCTACAAGTTTCACGTGCAGCCTGTAAGAAACAGATGTTAATTTCCAGAATAACAGATTCAAGAACTGTTAACAGTATAGTCATTGGCAATAAAATTATTATTTTAGAAAGTGCAACTTTAAAGACAGAAGTTATTTCCTCTTGTGTAGTATGAAAAAAAAAAACCCAAACAAAAAACTACACTTGAAGCACTGAAAACAAGTGCCCTGTTCAGCTAGAGATAATGTATCATGGGCAGATGCAATTCAAGCTTCCTAAGGCAGTCTTCCTCCTGAGCGTATTAAATTTAACTTGGAAAAAAGACGTTACAGCAAGAAAGCAACGTTCGGGCTTAAAATATATTTTATTCATGCCCTTTAAGTTCAGTTTCATTTGGTAAAGCATTATCAAAGTAATGGGAACAATTCAGTCCACTGAAAACCAATTCAATCCATATTGCTTATAAAAACTGTTCAAATTTTAGCAATCCAGCCTGGACTCTATTATCAAAGGAAATGTAAAAAGCTATGTCTTCGCTGCCATTTCAGTGTGAAATAGATGTTCTCTCATCTATTACTTAGTTTCTATTGTATTCCAAAGCCAGATTTCTAACATCAGTATGCATTCAAGAGTGCTGCAGTTCAGTCCTTGAATGCACTACAATAAAGTGTGAATACAGGTGTCACCTTTTCACACCTCGAAAAGAACAGTACCATGTTTGTAAGTGCAGAGGAAGAGCCTTTTGTTTTAACTGAAAAGTACAAAACTTGACTACAATAATGGATTAAAAAACATCAAAGGTAAGGCTTTCAGACCAAATTCCCATTTAAATCTAGGTGATTATTTTTAAGATCCCATTTAAAATTAGCTTCTGTAATGTAAAAAATCTTAAAATTATCTACGTAGTGTGAAAGGTATTGCAATAAACATGTTTATGGAAATCAGTGGTGGCTTAGTAATAATGGCAGATGAAGAACAAAGAATGAATATACTATTGGGATAAATGTTTGAAATTAATGTTTGGAATTGAATTACACTGTGACTCTGGACAAAGCTACAATAAATGTTCTACTATAACTGCAGGTTTTCTAATAAACTCAAAATTAAGCACATAATGTAAAATTCAAAAAGCATCAAGAAGCACAGCATTTTCTTTGACCAATATACTAATTCAATCTCATTTTATATTAACAAGGTTAACCTTTTGACCTCGCTTGCCTTGCATAAAGCAGAAAAACTTCCTTTTCCCTCCCACCTCAATTACCAGTACAAGTCTTATGGCATCGATTGGGCTTATAAAGGCTGGGAATAAAACAATTCTCTTGTAGCAATAGAACAACAGCGCTTATGAATACAGCTGCTCACATCAAACTGTCATTTTAATAAAAGCAGCAGTTAAAACGTGTAAGTAACATTAGTTAGCATAAATTCAACGGGCAACTTTATCTTTGCATTAAGTGGGAAAGAATTACTGGAGAGGCACTGTTATTCTTTGATTTCCAGTACTGTAAACCATTTTTGTCTCACGATAGCTGTTTTCCTTTAGTCTAGCCATGACTTTATTACAAAATTCTGCATCAACAACATGTACTTCTTAACAAAACACTCAAGAAATACTTGGCCTTACCTCTCCACCAAAAAAATAATGATTAAACATGTTGTAGTGGCAGAATTCATCCTCTGTATAAAACTGTGAATACCTGTAAAATAAGTTTTAAAAATAGTAGGAAAACATAAACAACTTCTTGTCTGTACTTAGGGGCATTTACAGTGAAAACAAGACCTTAAGAAAAACAACAGCTGGGCTCTGATTACTGACAACACATACCAGTACTGGGAATTATTAGGTACTATTACTTTTCTCGTAAACTGGATGTTATTTGTGTATGTGTGTAAGAACAGTAATGCAGAGACAGGAAAGGGAAAACAAGCACCAATTCATCTTTTAAAGCAGTAAGAACACAAACGTTGTACTTACTCTTCAGATAGATAAATATTTGTCAAAACCTACCTGAAATCAATATCTAGCAGAAGGCTTCTAACCCTGAAATCTTCTTCTTGTGATGCTTTTGACTGGATCATTTCATGAAGCCTGAAGCACAATTGGAGCAAAGAAATTTAACACATAATCAGTGGCTTCAGAAATTATCTTGCAAGACAAGAATGCCTGGTACTTTACTAAACCTAAAACCAAACAGATAGAGAAAATGGAGTAATCTGAATGCGGATGATTCCATGTGGCTAATAATTCAAAGTTAGAAAAATTAGTCTCAAAAAAGATGAAAAGTCAATGGAGCCTACCGGATAACCATGAACAAACAAACAAAAACCCTAAACATAAGCAAAGAAACTCATTGTCACTTCTGTAAGAAAGAACATAAGACATTCAAAGTGTGTGTGTGTGTGTTATTTGCAGGGCAGCTACAGTCTTCTGTATCTTATGAGCTCAAAGCAAGATCCTATTAGATGCTTAAATAATTCCAACCAATTAAAGCATGGTGAACCTTTTACTATGGGATATCCCATGGTTTTCAGAGAGATATATTATTTGAAAGTGTAACAATTATCACTGACATACCTGGGTGTTCCAACAGACAGCACTCGTCTGAATCCTAAACCAATAATAAGATCCAGTAGGAACTGACAACTTCTGTCTGCAAATAAATACTGTGCATTTGTTTTTTTATTCTCAAGTGGATACAGAAGTTGACTGGGGCTTTTTAACTGGGTAGTGGAGATATCACACAGGAACTGGTGATCTGAGTGTTTTTCCCATTCAGCTGGCAATAGCAATTGCTGAACTCCTCTTTGATAATGGCAACAGAACAAAATCCTTGTACCTTTAAGACAACACGGAACAAACATATGGAGGGAGCCATGAAGGAGGGTTCATATTTTTTAAGAGTTCAGACATTTAAAGAAGCAATGTAGCTTAAGCTGCTCTTACAAAACTCCATTACCTACACGTGAATGAAGTCATGGTTATGAAAAGATATTCAAAGGACACTTTGAAAAGCTTATAATATACAAGCCAAATATATTGAGAGTACAGATAAAATAACTGGATTAGAAAGTGAAGACTCCATATCAACTACCAGCAAGGAGTCCTGTACGTTTATACACAAAACTAGGATGTTATTCATCATTGTATCACCTTTGCTTCTTTCCACAATGTTAAGCCTGTTACTTCTGCACCCCAGAGTCAGGAACAATTTTTTGAACTGAAGCTGCTATGACCTGTTGTGTTAGCATGTTATGAGCACTAATGTAGGAAGAACTATACATACAAAAAAAATTTAAAATAAATAGATACAGTTCCTGGCTTGAAAATACCATGCTCTAATTACATATTTCATACTATTTTCCCCTTGCAGTCATCCAGTTCTTATTTTTCCAAATCCCTCTGTCATGTTTTCATATTTTAAAGATTCCTGAAATACTATCTCTGCATTCAAAATACCTAAAGCTGTATTACTTGATTTTTACTGAAGAAAATAGCCGTAACAATACCTTTCCACATTCTGCCTGTGTGTAAAAGAAGGCTGGTGATTTCTATTGTATTCTTCACGGGCTGCAAGCCTAGTTTCTGATACCTGTAAAATTTATGTTTATAAAACGTTATAAACCAAACAGATATTGCTCCATATTAAATCTCAATATTAAACAAAAAGGGTGCAAAAAGGGCTGTTACAGAAGAATAAGTATGACTACAGCACAGAGGAATGCTGCAAACCACCATGAGTCTCTCATTGTGAATTTAAACCATGCAAAAACTAGAAGCATTTCATTCTTCTACTACATGTAAGACTCAGGGGGAAAACTCAAAACATGCTTACGAAGACAAAAAGAGGTATACTTTTCATTAATGCATGCAGCAGTTGTACTCCCTCTGAAGAGCTATGGTCTGATCCCGAAAAACTGATGACAATAGAAATGTTGCCCAAGTCTTTTACGTGTGTTTATTTTAAGAGCATGACAGCTCTTCCCCGAGCCTTCTACTTTGTTGCCACAAAACATACTTACAGCTTCAGAGTTAACAGTGTTTTGAGACATCTATGCAAAACTTATGGACCTGATTTCTTTAACGGGGGAGACAGTAAAATTCCACAGAACAAAAGACACCATTATACAAGTGACATTCAAAATGAACTTTCAGTAGCAATACTATTTAAATCCACAACCGAGTGATTAACTACCTCATTTTCTCTTTATACAACTTTTCAGTAGTATCCAGCACAGCAATAAACCGCTTATGAACACAACTAAACTCCAGCCTGACAAGCTGCTGAGGACAATGACCACAAGAGGTACTCATTTGGGAAACAGAAAAAGTAACACAAAATGCAGCGGATAAAACCCACAGCAAGGTCTCTGTGAATACATATCAATCCCTATTCTGTTACCCCACAATTATCTCCCCAAAGTTCTTTAGATAAATTGCTGCAGATGTTCTACTGAGACTACTGAGCATCACGCTGATCCCCACCTCTCTATTTTACATATGCCATTGCTTGCCTGTATCCGCCAGATTTTCTCTATCTTAATTGTGGAAAATGAGGACATCTTGGGATCAGAACTATCCTATTTTGTTCAACACTGCATAACATTTGCAAACACCACAACTTGAGTACACAAGTGTTTTGACAATACAGTAACAAATGCCAGATTTTCTCACAAATCTTTTTTCACCAATATTCTTTTAAATAGAGAGAAAAATTAACCCCAATATTTACCATAGTCCTACGCAGTGCTCCCTTACCTTCTCATCTTCCCACTGGAAAAAGTTACAATCTTTTCTATCCCTACAGGCTGAACAAGCGTAAAACCTTCTTCCTTCCTCTTTTCCTTGGCTGGTCTTTACAAACAGAAGAGCAGGACCTGAAGGACAAAAATCACCACACGTGACACAGGGGACACCAGAAGATGTGTTTTAATGCCTCCCCTGCAAGCGTCAAGCTTCCAGAGCATTAACAAAGCTTAACACAACTCCTGGAAGGGGAGCCGGGAAAGCGGCGGGGGATGACCAACAGAGACGCGGTGGGAAGGGGAACCGCGGCCACCCCAAGCCCCCCCCTCCGGGC